AACGATCATATAAAATAATATTGATCCCTATGGACAGAAAAAGAATGAACAGTAGTATGTGGAACTTCCATGGTTGAAGGTTCATTGAATGGGGCGCGAACAGATTGATTTCTCATTTCTTCTAGTAACAAGTAGCTGTGTTTTATAACAGCTTAGTAAGGTATTTATGAGCATAAATATATGAAAGTAGTATTTTTATGCTTGAATAAACGCGTAGTTTTTTGACGACGGGGTGTGAAGGATACACTCAACAAGCAGAAGAATGGAAAACCTATGCCAGCGCAAAGAGAAGAAGGCATTGTTACTATTGATCATTCACACTGTTTTATCTGCTGGCTATAAAAGCATCCATTTTACTTGAAATTTGGAATATGCAAGACGATGACAAAAAGCACGGATACCACGCACTACAGTCGTGCCATAATGGAGAAGATCATAGTTAAGATTATTGCGCATGCATATAGTCTAAGTAATTGCGCAAGAATATATTCAAGGTTATGGTGCAAGACTATGGTCAGGGTTATTGCGCAGAGCCTAGCCAAGGTTATTGCGTAGACTCTAGTCAAGATTATTGCGCAGAGTCTACTCAAGATGATCGCACAATATTTCTTATATAAATAGATCAATTTATTCTTAAAAGGATATCTTTTTCATTTTGTAAATAAACGTTAGGTGAGAAAGATCTTAGTTTACCCGGGAACCTAACACACGTCAAAAGAAAATGACCTTTTTTTTCTCGTTTTATGAGGAACACTATTCGGTAACACTCCTTTTTCAATCGTTCATACGTCGATCGATAGAGGGTATCGGAATAGTAAATAGTCTAAAAGGGTTCTTGCCAATGACTCTCGAAGACCCGGTTTTCTAGAAAACTAGTTTTTTAGAAGTTCTGACAAATAATCAAAACCTGTCCTTAGTAAGACCTGATTGTAGCCCGCAAATTTCTGATTTAAATGAGACATCTCCCAGCTCTACACAACCTTTCTTTGCACAGTTATAGAATTTATACTCGATGATTGGAAGTATTTCCTCAACCTAATACGTTTTTCGGTATCTTTAGAGAGCCCTTTTTTGTGCGTTTTTCTCGCTATGGTTTGTCCGTCGGCTTTTTTACAGCAATGGTAGCTTTTCTCACCTTTCAATTTTCATAAAAACTACAGAAATTATCAGAATAAAAATTCGAAGTTAAAATTTTGAAAAATAGTAAGAACAACATTCTTTGCATTTGTCACAGGATGTTTGATCTCTCGTTTAAGTTATGTTTGATCGATAAATGAGAAAGTTGTTTGAAATAATGTATTTCGTTATCTCTTCAGGTTTTTTGGTTTAGTCATGAGAATCAACAAGAAATCATTATCATAAGACATCATTAATGGATGTGATGAAACAATTAAAAACATTAACAATGGTGAACGACGAGACATAACATGTAATAATGGCATCAAGTTCATCAAAACTAAAGAAAATATGCGTAGTTGTTAAAACAACAACAATTAAAGCAAAACTGTTAACACGATGAACCGGAGACCAACAGTGGCGCCATCACTTTGTAAAAAGTTCACTACAACAAAGTTTCAATGCATTGTCGGTAACAGCACCACAACCAGCGTCTAGAAACTTACTCATAACCACATCAGAAAATCGATACTACAACACATAAAAAATTAGCTCTCAAAAGCATCAATTAAAATTATTTTCTAATTATCAATATCATTTGCTACTACTTTACAAGAAAAAAACAGAATCAATTAATCACCACTTAGATGTAACTTCTTTTGCCAGAACCAAAATAATGTACACAATCATGTTTTATATATACCTACCAGCACGTTGGAGGATGACAGAATAATCAGTCATTCGAACGGAATGGGGAGTTTGACATTTTTGAAAAATATTGATTTTGAAAATAAACAGCAAACAAAGACAACGTATTTGTCTTTCTTAATAATACAAATGTGCTTCTGTGATTGCTTGCACGTCTATAGAAATTTCAATATATATATTTTCCTCCTCATAATCATCTTTTAGACACGGAAATACAAGTATTCAAAAATGTGCAAAATCGCACAAAATAATCGATTTTCGATTACTTTTTTGCGACTTTTGTGCGTTGTTGATTAATCATATTTTTTCTATATATAATAATGAAACCTTTTAAACACTTTACTTTTGTAAAACAAACTTTTCTCTACAAAATGAGATATCCCGCAATTTTGAGAGATTTACTATAACCAAATGGGAAGGATTTTCCCGAATGCCCCAATATCGATTATTAATCGGTGCATGTCTAATAAAGATGGAAATTTATATGTTACTGACACTTTCAATCATCGAGTATACAAATTTTTACTTGATGATTAGACCAGATAAATGTGACGATTGGCATTCATGAAAACATAGGCTTTTAAAACTTTTGTTTTTAGGACGAGATAGGTCAAAGTGTTCGCTGAAAATATCGTTTTTTCCCTCTCGTATTTTAATTATAATTTTTGAATGACAAGACATATCGACCTCGAGAACGTCTCATTTTAATGAGAAAAATATTGTCAACGATATTTATACGATCTCGAGGTCGATATGTCTTGTCATTCAAAAATTATAATTAAAATACTAAAAAATGCTGTAAAAAGCGCCATGTTACCAGTGCACTTCAAAAAATTGAACAAATTAAACGGATTCAGCCGGCGTTATTTGAGAACGTACCAACTTGAGTAAGCCATCATTTTGTAGAGAAAATTGTGCTCTACAAATTTAAGCTAGTTTGGAATTTTATTCCATTGTTTTGAATATCCATATTTTGAAAATTCAAAAACTGGCGCCCATTTTAATGTCTGTAGGGTATTTAAAAAAGGTTTTCAAATGATATTAATTTTTGCCTGAAAAAGAACTTCGATCAAGCAGTTTTGTGTAAACTTTTACACTCTTTCGGATGATGCATTCGAAAAATTTTTTTTCGAGATCTGAAAAAAATTTTCGTCCACTTTTCAGAAAACTCCGAAAACTTAAAATTTCAAACTAAAGACAATAGATATTTGAAAAATCATTTTTATGAAAATGTAGAGTATAAAATTCTTTATTGAATGGTATGTAAGTCAATTTTTCTAAGTTAACATAAAATGAGAAAAAGTTGAAAATAAAGAAAAGTGTGCTAAACTTTTGATCCATGAGAAAAAAATATTTTGTTTCGTGAAATCTCAGTGCTTCTTTGTAATCGCACGTTTTTTATGATTATGATAGCCTAGGATACACGCTACCTGTAGCACACTTTGAAACTTTTTGAAAATCTTTCGTTTCGGAAAAAAATAGAAAATAAGAAGTGTGCTAAACTTTTGAGCGCCCACTTTATACACCAAACCAAAGATTTCTTGTGATTATCACATTTTTTGTGAACTAATTTTTATCTCAAAGATTTTGAGTTTTTGGAATTGTCTTTTCTTCATTTACTGTCACTGGAGACCGCTTTGGCTGTGTGGTTAAGTTGTTTGGCACGTACCTCAAGGTACTGTGTTCGAGCCTCAGCGCCACCAGACATGGAATGATCCTGGGTAGGTCATTAACGGTTGTTTGCCTCGGATCACCCGTCAGATAGCTTGCTGACTACGCTGTGACATACACCAGTTCTCGTGGCTAATGTGTGGGTAATCAGTGTGTACGGGGAGCTCAAGCGATTGAGTGAAAGAACTCTGAGTCAGGCTGACCTTTTGTTCAGAGCTACGGCTAGTATTAGTTGTATGGAAGATATCGGGCTTATGAAACTGTTTCCAGACAGCACCCTACACCACAAGGTAGTCGAAAGGCTGGGTATTCTTCTTCCTTCCTTCCACTTTCACTATCCTCTCCCGCCCACATGAGAAGCGCAAAATCTATTCGATTTTTTTATTGAATACAAGAAATGTTAAATTGAAAAGTGTCAAATGTCAGTGCTCAACTGTCGATTGACAATTTTTGATCAATAATGTTTCGGACTAATTTTACCTTGTTTACCTTTTTCGTCACTCTTTATAGTGATGTCGTCTACCTTATTTTTACTTTTGCCCAAGTTGAGTTTCAGATAGTAATGTTCATCGTTACGAAGTCACCCACATATCAACGTCTTATGGAGTTTCAAGTGAAGACGAGTCTATTTTATACGACGAGGAAGAAGTGAAAACGTAAAAAGATCGTCTGCTCGTAAAAGATGAGATGCCAGATCATATGTGAAACCGTTTTTTATCGTTTCGATCAGATCTAAATAAATTACATTCGGACTCATTCAAATATTATCTTGGATAACTGACTTCAGCATAAAAAAACGATATTTTTTTGAATGACTAAAAACCGACGCGATAGGGATTTCAGTATTATGTGGAATAAGACAATGATTTTAAAATTAAGAATATAAAGGTTTCACTTTCATTTTCTATCAGAGCATTTGTTAAGAAGGAGAAGAACAAGGTGATAGATTTTAATGCGACATTAGCCATCGATATGAGTCAATTTCTTTTAATAGAAAAAAGGAATTTCAGACTTTTTGAGCTTTTGAATATAATTTTAGTTTCACAATGCTGTTATTTGAGACTGTCGGAAAGTCGTTGTACCCGATGGACGTGATTTGGTTCGTTTAAAACGTTTTGGTATGAAGCTCATCAATGATAACGACATTAATTCATGACGAAAGATTCTTGATGGAACCACATAGAGCAAACACATCGACGAAAATGTACTAGAACAGAATTAGAATATAGAGTTGAATCTTTATAATCTAACAGTCTGAGTAAATGGGCAAATCCATCTGAAGTGTTCCACACTTTACAAAAGTTTTTCCGCTTCATTTAAAATCAATGTAGTTTATAGAGCACATCAAGTTACGTAAGAAACTGTCTTTTCTGACTTCATAGCTGATGCAGAACCCGAGAAAAATGACTTTTACACTCCGAGCAAATTATCGGATTCGACGTCACTCTCACTGCGAATGGATTAGCACCGCGATGAATTTTACAACATGTTCTCCCGTTTTTCAACAAATCACTTAAGGGTTCCCGCCCCCCCTCAGAAATTATCTTCGACACCGTACATCCGATCTTGACGAAAACTTTCATAAATGTTCGGCTTAATGAGTTACGGGAATAAAAAATTTTTTTGTCTCCAAGTCTTACCGTTCAGGAGTTTTCCAGAGATCAAGGTCCAAAAAGGACCCTGAAGTACTTTCAATATACCAAGATTTTTCAATATACTTCAAGCTGGAGAGTTCGGGTTTGTTTTGTTTAAGCTAGACACCTAACTACATGGTCTGACTGGCGCCGACTCTGTAATAATAACCTTAAGTGATTTGTCGAAAAAAGGAAGAACATGTTGTGAAATTCATCGCGGTGCTGATCCATTCGCAGTGAGAGTGGCGCTGAATCCGATAATTTGCTCGGAGAGTAAAAGTCCTTTTTCTCGGGTTCTGCATCAGCTATGAAGTCAGAAAAGACAGTTTCTTACGTAATTTGATGTGCTCTATAAAACTACATTGGTTTTAAATGAAGCGGAAAAACTTTTGTAAAGTGTGGAACACTTCAGATGGATTTGGCCAAATACATTTTCAGTCTTACAACGCCTTTGTCTAAATTTGCTAATAGACTAATATAATACCGAAACAAAAGTCTGGTTATTTACCTGTAGTAGAGTAGTACGCAAACGGTGACAATATGTTTATAAGTATCGGAATAATTTTGACATTGATACAAAATTGTAAAAATAATCGTGGGTAGTGACAGTAGACAATAAAAGAATGGAGCAATGAAAAGTTCAATTTTTGAGTAAAATTCTTTCCAGAATGTTCGACACTGTTTTTCTCCTGTCCGCTTCGATTTTGAACATGTCAGTGTGAGAGTGATCAGAAATGCCGATAATAAATTCATCACAAAGGGAATGATGTACTGAAGAACGATTGAAACATAGAGTGTGGCTTTGTTGATGGTTTGTGATGTGTAAACACATTTGGATCGAGTCGGTTGTAGATAATCGGCGATGAGGGCATGAAAAAATATTGTGTAAAGGTCGATGCAGATAAGAAACATGGCGATGGCGAATGAAAAATAGTAGGCAGCATAGGGGGTTCGATAGTATTCGAAACGAGTTGGAAACCAGACACAAACGGCACGTTCAATTGATATACACATAGATAGCCAAGATGCAACTAAAAATAAGAAAATGATTAATGTCATCTAATAAATATCCTCGTATTAATTCTTACAGCGAACTAAAAATCGAACTATAAATGGCCAAAATTTACAAAGTAATGTGTGTTGATCTTCAATTTGTGCAAAGCCAAAAGATAGACTGATGTACAAAAATGCGGATATTAAACATGTTACAGCAAAAAAATTGATGATACTTTGAAACAGGATATAGATGCCTACAATTGAAGAAAACATATTTGATATATCTATAAATATTTTCTGTTTTGTTTCGTTTACCAGTTCCTGCACGTCTCGTTTTTGGTCGTAGGAGAAATGTCAAAAACGTCAGTATATTATTCAAGGCTGCATAAAGATAGAGAAGACTAGGTATAATCAAATATAAATCTAATCGAAACCATGTTATCCCATCATGTTGAAATATGGTTAAATGTTGTGAATCAAATGTACCATCGTCATTTTGTTCGGCTAACCACTCGAATGAATTGGTATCGCGTCTCAATGCATACTGACATAATCGTCCGTAGAAACACGGTGGACATACACAAATGAAATTGGAAAATGTTCGATTTGAATATTCGTTGTAGCGCTGAAGACATAAACCACCATTTTCGCATGGAGCAACTTTCGCCATTGATTGGAACAATTCACTATCAGAGGATTGTGGTAGATTAAATATATTCGCCGAGTTTTGACACACCATTGATGAACGAATAAAACATTCAACAGTTGGTGGACTAAGTCAAAAAAAAGACACCATATCCATAATGTTTCTTTTTGTCTATACAAAAAGTATAAAATTTTTTTCTACTCTTGTTAAACTTTCTTGGACAATATCGCACAGTGACAATAAATTGCTGAACAGAATAAATGACATTTAGAAAAAAAGTACGAACTTTATATTCAATTCATTTTATCAATTATAGTGAGTCCAAGAAATATGTTTCATGGTTAAATGTACATACGTCTGAGGGCTTCCAACTGAATTACATATCTCATGCGATCCCATGGAATGATTCATTGAAGAGCTATGAATTTCACAAAACGTTACAGACGTTTTTTGGCTGGTACGCTTGGACAGGTAGTTATACAACATGATTTCGAACTGTTTCGTTTCATAATTGCATAAACATAAAGTCATTTTTTTCTTTAATAAATAATGAAGCGATAGATAGAAAAACAATGATGCTATATGGATATGAATTTAGAAGAGTTTGCAAAAATACGAACATATACCATACGATCAAGATACTATAGAGAGAAAACATAGAGGTAGAGAAATACACATTGATATCTAATATTTCACTGTTATATACACATCGGCATGTACCGGTTAAAAACCGACAATTCTTTATCTTCTTTCGCACATATATTGTATGAAAAGTATGACATATTAAATAAAAACTTCTTTTATAAGTGCTGCGTAGAGATGAAGATTGTTCTCATAGCTTATTTTGTAGAGAAATATTTGCTCTGCAAAACCCAGTTGTGAAAAACATTTAATATGTATTTAATAATATACGTTTCATACAATATATTTGCAAAAAAAGATAAAAAATACTGGTTTTTAATCGGTGTATGTCTATATGAACACATATCAACTACAACGTCTGCAATCCTCTCTTCGTACTGTAATGTTGAACATTTAAAATTGTTTTCTTACTGAAAAAAAGTAGCAAAGACTGACGAGGGAGGTCCACCAACTGTCCAATCGCTTTTGAGACGAAGCCTAGTGTGTGATAGATAATCGACCATGCTGATTCCGAATATCGACATGAGACGGGTAGTTAGGCCGTCAGAGATCCGCTTTCTGAAAAACCAGCTTTTCAGACACTCTAGAAAACAACCAAAACCTTTCTTAATGAAGCATAATTGTAGCCCGCAAATTCCTGATTAAAATGAGGCATCTCCCAGCTCTGCATGACTTTTCTTTGTAAAGTTATAAAAGCCCTGAATGTTCATTACCAGCTCAAAGCTACAGAAATAAGGAAAAAATTAATTTAGGACTTTTCTTGTAAATTCTATAACTTTGCAAAGAAAAGTCATACAGAGCTGGGAGATGCCTCATTTTAATCAGAAATTTGCGGGCTACAATTATGCTTCATTAAGAAAGGTTTTGGTTGTTTTCTAGAGTGTCTGAAAAGCTGGTTTTTCAGAAAGCGGATCTCTGACGGCCTAACTACCCGTCTCATGCCGATATTCGGAATCAGCATGGTCGATTATCTATCACACACTAGGCTTCGTCTCAAAAGCGATTGGACAGTTGGTGGACCTCCCTCGTCAATCTTTGCTACTTTTTTGCAGTAAGAAAATAATTTTAAATGTTCAACGTCACAGTACGAAGAGAGGATTGCAGACGTCGTGAAACTAGCAGGGATTTTTTCCCGAGGGTTTTCTCGTTTTATCCTTTCTATTTTATTTCTATATTTATTATATATATGCGTAAAAACAGTTGATAAGAAAAAGAAACAGAATGATCTTTTTTGGAAAAATTCTGTTCTTTCTCTTTGATGGGATAGAATAGTGGCCAGAGTTCTTACCGAGAGTAGATTCTATAAATGCTAAACTGAGATCAAGAATACAACGTTTATCCTTGTTTTTCCTCTAACAATCTAATCGAAAATGTTTCGTTTTCGTGATTGATCTCGTCGCTCATTAATAATATCATTCATTAGGTTAAAACACAAACCAAAGAAAGAACAGGAGAAAACGAATTTTTTTCTTTTTAAAAGATTGATATGTCAATAGTATTTTTCCGTTTGTGATAAATAAATCAAACAGTAAATTTTATTTCAAAAGTTTCCAACACTTGTTACTTCAATGAAAAGTCGTTCGATACAATTTTTAGAGCTGTTTTTTTACAATGGTTAAATTGGATGTCACGTTTTCGGTGATAATGAGTTTTTACTACAAAAATATTTTTGTAAATACTATTTCCATGCGATACCTTATTCTAATAAAATGATTTATTGAAATAGTTCATATTCTAACAAAGGCTAGGAAGATAAAACTCCTAAGTCTAAAATGCTGATATATTCTAGAATATAGCAACATTGCTTTTCTATCTATCGCTTCATCATTTATTAAAGCAAAAAAATGACTTTGTTTCGTAATTACATAAACATAAACCAAGCAGTTATATATAAAACAGTTCGAAATTATGTTATGTAATAGTTATACCGATCTGACGAATGAAATCTATGTTCAAGTGCTCTTTTAGGTAGCTAGTAAACTATCGACATAGGGCAATTCTCAAGTTCTATCTTTCGATGTCTGCTATATGGCCATAGTGAATTCTACCAGTCATGATAATTCCGAAAATCCACTTTCAGTATATGCCACAGCCCTTCAGCCTCTAAGAGTGATAACTGACTATGTTGTGTACTTTAGTGGCATACCTTAGACAAAAACATATGTAACAGGATGAGAGAAAACATTTTGGTGGTTTCATCGGTGTATTTGCGTTTACTTGGCAAACATTTCTGGGCGTCTCTGATCTTGATAGACATAAATCCAAATAAGTAACGTTTATCGTTTTGCTTAACGAACTAGTATCCACATATTGTGCATAGGTAAATAAACTAAAATACAAATATTATTTAACTATAGTCCACTAGCATGCGATGAATAAAACACATTACAATTAAATCATTCTGAAATGATTGACTTACTTTAAACGCGAATCAAATATGGCTAGAACTATTACAGTGGAATTATATCTACGAGGAAAATAAAATTGTTCAGGAATTTGCTGCGACTGATCCCGCATTCGAAACAGACTATCGTCCAACACTAATAACGATCCGTTCACCGTATCATAGGCTCTTAGAAGAACCAGATGTTGTTCGTTTGTATTGTTCAGTTTCAAATTTTGAATGCGAATTGTCAATTGCGTCGACGAATATTGACACATAGGTCCGTAAAATTCCATAGGACAATTGCACATGTAGCCACTTATTTTTTGTCGTGGTAGACAAATGCCAAAATTCTGACATGGATTCGATTCACAATCGAGATTTTTTAGTAAGCACTGACGACCGAATCGTCCCGGGGGGCATAAACAAGTATAACCGCCTCCTCGAACTAAAGGATAATAATTTGCGCGACATGTGCTCTCAGAAGAGCATGGTGACGACTCACATTGATTAATGAATTTATCACACCATCTGCCATACCAGCCCGGAGAACAAAAGCAAAATGATGAATTACTATTAATTAATGCTGAGCAAACACCGTTTACACATGCAGTGTACTTGCAAACGCTAATATTAGTCAATAATAAAGAACGTAGTACAATAGCTATACGATTAACGGGTAAAAATGGATAATTCAACGGAAAAGACCATTCAGCATAGACACTGACCACTGCTTCAGAATAATCATACATTTCAAATTGAACATAGCAGTTGGTCATACTTAGTGGCTTTGGTCGTGACATGAGTAGATAAATGGTTGTTTTGTCATTGAGCAATTGAAAATCTACGACATCATAGTAGATCGAATCAATGACAATATCGTCACACATTAATAGGACGAACATACTCGCCCATGCGAAACGTTCGCTGTTCAGCAGACAATCAAGTTTAAATATGACGGATACGTACGAACTGTAATATTGACAGCGAGATCCGTAGTAAGGCGGCGAACAGAGACACACAGGAAGATCATAAAATAATATGCAAAAACCACGTACACAATACAATGGATCACACAATGGTGAGTTTAGTGCTGTCTGTTGTAAATCTAAACAAGATTAGAAAGGACAAGATGCTCGTGCCCAACAGAAATGCATACACAGCCAGTGACGTATCAAGTTGTAGTTGTAATTGTAGTACAATGATTACTAGTTCTCGGAAACAGATTGAAATTTGCTCGAAATAGCATAAATACAGCTGATTATCAAGGGCTTACCTGCTAAGCAATTTCTAAAATTCGCTCCCAAATCGCATTTGTCATTACTAGCATTTTTATTTTGAAAACTATACTGTGTCGATGTTAATATTGTGTCCGACATTGTCGTATCCAATTCAGTTGTGTACTCGTGATGTACGTCTAAATCTTTAGCTTCAATAATTTTAGTACCCATTAAAATTTCAGTTGGATATTGCATGGTATTCATTATTGTAACAAAAAGTTCATCATTATAACTGCGATTCAATGCTGTTGTTGACATTGATTCTGACGTGAGAGGAATGTAAATAGCTGATGTTATCACAGTTGTACTTATCGTAGTGACACTTGCTGTCGTTGTTGTTGTAGTAGTGGTCAGGGTTGTGGTAAGACAGTTCAACTCATCAGCACCATTTGGGCACTGTCTTATTCCATCGCATAAAAATACTAGTTTGGTGCACATTCCGTTACCTAGAAGTACTTCTGTTTACTCAATTTATAGTGAATGCAGTGAAACTTTATCTTACCACAATAGGAATCGTATCCACTAGTCAAACAATGGTCTTGAAAACATCTATCTGTGCTAGATGTTACGGATGATGCCGTTAGTTGTAAACAGATATTCGCAAATTGTTCCCAAGCATTCAATACGTTTCCTACCGAAAAACAATTTTGTTCATCTTCACATTGTCCACAATCACAGATACCATCGCAAACTACTTTATTGGATACGCATTGTAAACCAGTACTAGCAAAACAGAGAGATTCTCCATTATCTGTACAGGATGAGAATGGACAACTCTGTTCATCAACACCTCCAAAACAATCCTGAATGCCATTGCAATGAGCAATTTCACGCACACAAGATTCATTATTGGTTTTGTTCAAACACCGAAAGGGACGCAAGTTGTTTGGACACATCTGATTCCATGAACACGATGCTTCATCTGAGCCACTACTACAGTCCGATTGTGAATCACATACCCATAATCGACTAATGCAATTTCCATCATCACAACGGAAACGATCGCCGATAAAGCCACCATTCGTGCATTGTAACCGATTTCGCTCATCACTACCATCGTTGCAATCAACTATACCATCACCAGCTTTCTCTACTTTGACACAACCATATCCATCATAACATGCGAGTTCTGTGCTCGTATTACATGTTGTACCGATGGTTGTCACATTTAAATCAGTTACGGGTGTACACTGATACTCGTCCGAACCGTCAGTACAATGCCAGAAACCATCACATTTCCATGACAACGGGATACATTGACCTGTTCGGCACTGAAAACGATTACCTGTTGAACACTGATTATCTAGAACAAAAGCAGTCTGAATTCAACGAGAAACTAAAATATGATATGGTAATTATAGTTTATGGGGTATATAAGTTACTGCTGTTTTCTCAAAATCCACACCAGTCGGTTGATATGCGAATTTTTGAACATTTGTCGAGCAAATTAAATACTTTTTTTATGGCGTTTTTCCAGTATACAGAAGATGATTTTAGTATGCTACATACTTTCACCATTTAGAATAGTGTACGGTGGACTTCTAAGAAGCACTAAGAATTGTTTTTCCCCTGTTCTATTTATCTTCTCTAAGTTGTTTTTGTTAAAATACTCTGAGATGATCCTTAGTTTATACCCTAGCAAATGCACTTGCATGCAGGTACTTTGTCAAGTACCATCGCAAATTTTGTCTGGCGCTTCTTTGCAAGTAAACATAGTACTTGCCGAGAAAATCAAGTACTTGAATTACGTTACCTTCTTGTCAAATCCTTTGCCAAGCACTTGCCCAAGTAACCCCCAAGTACCTGTGTGAGGTTTAATAAGTAAATCAAGTACCTGACAAGTACTTTCAAGCATTTAACAAAAAGTATTTTTTGAAAGTACTTTTTAAGTGCTTATCAAGTGCCCGTGGACATTCACATGTTAACAAGTACCCATTCGTAAGTACATACACTAGGGTATCTAATATATTTCTGTTTTCATTTTAAAACTGAGGAAAATTTCCAAGTTCTCTTTCTCGTTAGACAGTTTTGTTTATTTCTTGGCTTATTACCAGTATCTGGTATTTTGACATTCCGTAGAGACAAATGCATATTGTCACATTGTATCACGTATATATATACTAAGAAGCAGTAAAGAACAACGGAACGAAGTCAGTGTCGACTGCAACAGAATCCAAGTCTCCACATGCATTCAGAGACAAACCATCATACTCTCATGGACTTAAAACTGTTGCTTTACAACTTGTTTATAAAAGTGATGCTCGAAAGTTGTTTTTAATTCATTCTATAACATTCATTAGCGAAGTTCAGAATCCATTATACGTTATCTGAACTTGTTAGAGATTCTAAAAGGTCGATAATTTCGTACCTTCACCATAACACATATATATCCTATATAGTTAGATTTCAGTATGTTGATGTCCAAGGCGTGGCAATATCACCAATGGATGATGCTTTTTTTATATACTGTTTTGTGAGCTTGAAAATGTTCAAAATGAATTAAAAATCTGATAATCGAATTTATCAAATGAAAATTGAAGATAAATTACGTGGTCGTTGGCTAGTATGACTAGGCAATGTAAGTTGAATAAAAAGAATTATTACCTTCACAAAGCATCTCATCCACCGCATTTGGCATATGTTTGTACCCATCACAATACGTTCTAAATGGTAAACATGAATTCTGTTGTGCAACAATATGTTGAATGATCGGATTTGCATCGGCACATCCAATTTCGTCTCCATTATCCAAACAATCTTGCTGACCATCGCATATCTGCGCTAGTTGAAGTGGTTTCGAGTTTGAACACCGACAACTGTATGAACAACCATAGAGGATATATTCATCACTCCCATCATCACATTGTTGGATACCATCGCCAACTAGTCGCTCACTTACACATTGACCATTCGCACATCGATATTTTCGATGACCAAACGAATCGGCGTCTACTGAACATGCAACATTCGAACATGTAGAATTCAATTCATCGCTTCGGTCACTACAATCCAGGTAGCCATCACATAACCGAGTAAGAGAAATACATGCGCCAGTTAACAGACATCGGTATTGACTGCACGTCTGAGAAGTCGATGTGGAAGAGGTTGTGGCTGTTGAACGAATGAACCAGTCGAAGGCTACTCCAGTTGAATATGAATAGTGTAATTGATTCAAGTCATCATAGCGAAAGCATAGACTCTGTGTTAAATTAACAAGATTTGGCGATAAAAAGATGGTATTGTCAACGCAAACAACTGAGGATAAGTTTAGTTGTCGAAGCAGGTCATCACTGTAGAAATCGAACCAACAATACTTAAAGTAAAAGTCGTTGTATCGTTTTAAACATAAATTAATTTTTTCTATGAGTTTTTGCTCAAAAAGCGTTGATAATGAACTTAATTCAGTTGTTTCCATATAGAATTCTTGTGTTGTTTGTTCTTCTGTAACTGACATGCTTGTGGACGTTTCAACCGAAGAGTTGAGCTCATTGATATAATTAAGTGTCCAATTGAATATGGGTTCCCATTGAGCCAGAAGCGTATCAATTTTCATTGTGTCTATGTATAACTTACGCTGAAATAACGGCTCATAGACTACGATTCTATTCATTTTTACTAACGATGATTGATTGCAATAGAATCGAATGTCCTGTGGATTTTTCATGTATGTTTGACAAACATTGTAACTTCGCCCATTAAATAATAGACAATAGTAAACGGATAAACATGGCTCGAAATCAAAATTAAAATAATAACTTGGATCCTCATCTTCTCCATAGTCACAATCGATTTTTTGATCAAAATAATACTGTATTGGTACACATTTCCCGTTAATTTTACACGGAATTAGTTGCTCGCTGTCGATACACTGGGATATTTCATCACGATGATTCGCACACTCAAATGTCGATGAACCTTCGTCTAGCCAATGGATACATCTTCCATAGCCACACGATGCTTGTTCTGGTGAACATAAACGATTATCACACTCAAACGACGTGTGAAAATCACATGTGTGAAAACGCTGCTCTTCAACTCGATGTTCGTCTGAACCATCCATACCTAAAAAAACAATCTACACCAATGTATAACACCTCTTGCTGCAATTACTGGACGAACTTACAGTCGAAAAAACCGTCGTTTATATATGCACGATCGACACACATACCATTCCGACAGCGATAATCGACCGCCGATGAACACGAGCTAAATTCAAGTTGATCACAACTATACTCATCCTCCCCATACGCACATTGCTGTCTAAAATGAAGAAGTAAAAGTAAATGAACGGAAACAAATGCTATTGGTAAAAAGTAGTTTTTTCTTTTTTTGTGAGAATATCGATTTCGTAATATGGTCGTTTTGTCAATCAACTACAAAGTTAGAAGCGGATCAACCGACCGAGCCATTTTTCTTAATATTTACTAACTAGTCACTTGTTTATTCCACTTTAGATATCTATAGATACTCTGATACTTCAAATAGTGGAGTAGTTTTGAATAGTATCAATTAAATCAGTACTAGACAAATTATGTAAAAGATCTCTTAGTTCCATCAATTTTTTACGAATTTTTCATCAGTTATTAAAACGTACAAAGTCACCCGGTCTGTTCTTAACTGATTTTAGTTAGTTAGAAAAAGTAAAGCAAAATCGCATATAATAGAGAGAGTTCCACGAGGTAAAAAATAGACATACATTAAAATATTTAGAATTCATTATTGGCTGCTTAGTAAGTTTGATTTTGTTAAATAAAAAATCGGTGGAACTTAGAGAGTTTTTTACATAGTGTGTCTAGCGCTAATTCAAGGAAAAAATTTAACATATTTCTTGAATTAGCGCTAGACCCACTATGTAAAAAACTCTCTAAGTTCCACCGATTTTTTATTTAACAA